GGTGGCGGGTACCAGGCACACAGGGCAGGTCTGAGGGGGCCTGATAAGGAGCATGCTTGGGTGTGGACTTAGTCAGCTTTCCAAGAGCTAGAAACGACCAGCCTCTTGCCTGAAACACAAAAGAAAGAAAATATAGCACATTTTCTTTTGAAAGAAGCTATAATATTATTAGTACCTTGATGTCTTAATATTGGCTTTAAGCCCATTTTTTGGTATATTTAGGTGACCTACATAGCAGAACATATTTTACAAAATAAGAATGAAGTTGCTTTAGTAGTGAAAATAATGTTTGCTTATGGGCATGAAAAGGAGAAAAATGAATCCTAATATAATTAGTCTTTGTAGATTTGCTGTAGTGGTGTTGTTAATTTTTATGCCATTGTACAAAAAACAGATCTGAAATTTTAGCAGATTATAATTATTTTCACAGTGTGCAGGTACTGTCTTCATGATAATAATGTCTCCATGTATTGTTTGGATTAAATGAGCAAGTTAAGGCATGTTGTTGTCTGATTTGAACTCCAGGAATGGATGGGTGGATGGTTCTCTCCCTGGAGACTGAGCGTAAAAACCAACATGATGCTTGAAGAAAATAACACTCTCTGTTGACTTTTAGAATAGCCAGATTTTAATGACCTTCATAGGATTTTACTATGGCCACGGGTTATACGTGAGTATATTCTGGGACACAGTGTACAATATAGTAGGATAATGCCTAAGCAAAGAGAGCTCAAGAAATCCGTGATTGCCTAGTAACTAAGAAAAGAAAAAAATGCCAAATTTGCCAGTACATAAGGAAAATCAGGTCATCTTGACATTTAGGTATGAGTGTTTGGGGTAAAACCAGGCCCAGAGTTCCTATCCCGGGCCATTGTCATCAGAGACAGCCCAGTGGCCATCTTAATAAGTCAGTGCTGAACGGGATTGGTGTGAGCCTTGACTGTAGCTCTGTGTATAACCAAGCTGAGACACGTGTAAAATTGGAAACAATATCTGATGTGGAGGCTCTACTCCTCTATGTCACTGAAATCAAGAAACGCTGTGAGGTGAAAACAGAGTCTGTGGCTGAGGTTGAGCTCAGGTACTCGCCTGCATCCAGGCTGTGTCTCGTGAGCCTTCCTGGGGGGCCTGTGACTCCTGTGGGGCTGAGGCTGCTGACAGCTGGGTGGTGAGTTCTTTAGACAATAGGAGGGACACTGGAGACACTCAGCAGTACGGGGCCTCAGGATGCACCACGTTTGGTGGAAACAGTGACTCACTGACAGTGTGGGTCTCCCCACTGCAGACAAATCAAAGTCCCCAACCCAGCAGTAACCAGAACAACGGTCACGGAACGTGAGGGGCTGCACCTGTCAGTCTCCTGCTCTCTGGTCAGAAGCTGCTCCGGCTTTATTATTATCAAAGGAGATTGGAGCGTTTCCTCATGTGGAATACGATGTTATTTTCATTATGGACCCTGAGGGTGATTTTACATTTATAGAGTAGAGTTACTTCTCTCCTGCCTATGAGTTATATTGTCTGTGAAAATGGTAGAAGAAAACCAATCTTAACCCCAAGGAGGGATCCAGGGGCTGACCTCAATGAAGTCCTCCACAACGTCTAACCTGAATATCGAAGAAGGCTGTTGGATGATTGAAGATTAGGCTGAAGTGGGCCCCGTATCTGATGGGCAGGGTCCTGATCTGCTGGACAGGCTATGGCTACTGGCCCATAGGTACATGAGTCCATGATTTAACCCCATCATGGGTGGAATAGGGGTCAAAATACAAAGTCAAATGAAAATAGAAGTGTATTGCTGATGTCTATTGTTTTATTGAAGGGAACAGTTAATGCTTAAATTTTTTCTTGCCCAATTTTGCATGTTTATATGTGGTAATCAGAAAAACTAATTTGAAGACAACAATATGCAATATAAAAATCATTGTTGAATTCCTACCATCTTGTTTAAAGAAGCTCTGTATCATTTCTACTTCTTTTATTACTTGTTGTCTTTAATTGTTTGATCAGTGTTACATTCTCATATCTGGTAACCTGAGCAACTTCATTGAAGATAACAATGTGTAATATAACAACCATGTTAATTCTTATCATCTTGTTTTGAAATCCTGTATAAATTTTATTGTTTTTGTTTTGTTTTTGCTTGCATTGATGTTATTTTGCTATTTTTTTCTTTAAAATAAAAAGAAAGTGTATTAAAGTCCCTTATATGTAAAAAATATACATTTACATATGACATATAGGAAAATGTGAAGGAAAGGATTAGCTTAGTTAGAATGAGGTTAGAATTAAGTATTGGTCCTAGAGTTAATGGTTAACCTCGGGGCCATGGTGAAGATTTTTTTAGGAGTACATTTATAATTTTCATGTTAAATATGTTTTTTAGAGGTTGATTAATTTAAACAATTATATGTGACTAACAAGGGAAGTAAAGTTTGCTCTGAGAGGTTTTCTGACTTTAGCATTGTGCATTTTTTTTTTTTATTTTAAAGAGTAGAAGAAGGATAACGTAGTAAGAGGGAGATTTACCAATTTACAGACAAAGTGGTAGGACATTATCAGTGGTTGTTATTTTACCTATTGGTATTTTCAAGATAGTTTCTCAGGAAGGGAAATAGACCAATAACAGTGAGTTACAGACAAAAATGGTTGGAAATTATCAATGGTTGTTGTACTATACTTTGGTTTCTTCAAAGTGGTTTCTAGGGAAAGCAAATAGAGGTATACATGAGTGATCAATTAAATAATCATTGACTATTCTCAGTGGTTGTTATTGCAAACGCATGGTAACAAACACACATCCATTTACGAAATAGCATAGGAACAATGCAAACATCACAGTTATGGACAGATTGGTAGGAAATCATCAATGGCTGCTACAATACATGTTGGCATCCTCAAAGTGGTTTCTCAGGAAAACAAAGATGTGCAAGAAAGATCCAACAAGCAGTTGCAGCCCAAGGGTTGTGAAAAATAACAGGTTACCTCCACATCAGTGACTCCCCTCACTGAGGTGTGCGGGCTGGAAGAAAGGCCAGGGCTGAGAAGAAGGACCGAGAGACCAGCACCAGTGTCCAGCACCGGGCCGTCTACTCTTTCCTCCATACTCATGGTTTTGCGGGGCTCCTCCTTCTCCATGAAGGCTGTTCTACAGAATCTGAATATTGGGCACCCATGTAATTCATGAAGTCCCTGTGCAGCCCTCTCCGGAGCTCCATGCACTCCTCCACCGCAGCCCGCACAGTTAGGGGGAGGTATGACTCCCAGGGAGTCTCCCCGGGTGTTGCGCGAGGTCCTCCTGGTTTCTGGCTCCCGATTTGGTCTGGCGCCCCCAGTCAGCTCGACCTCTGAGTCATCGGGCATCGGTACCCTCGTGTTCTCCGAGTCCTTGTTCACCAGCTGCTCCTCCGCTGACTCCGGACCTTCTGGCTCTCAAGGGCAGGGCCAAGAGCGCCCCGCCGTGCGGCACGTTCTCCCAGAGGTTGCTCCACGTCGGGATGGTTCACGCGCGTCTCCGGGCGGCCTGCTGGGTCGGAGCTTCTCTGGGGCCTGTCGGTGCTCGACCTCAGGGCGACGGCCAACCCGAGGGCCCGTGCACATCTCTGCTCCGCTTCCCGGGTGCCTGCTGCCTGCCTTTCCCGGTGCTTGCGCGGCCGGGGTAGGGGGTCGGGGGCTGGGTCCGGCCGGAAAGGGCAGGTGTGCCCCCAGCCCGGCGGCCTCAGGGCATTGTGTATTTTGAGAGATGGAGTATGCCATTTATCTGAGTCAGCGCCAGAAAGGGGTGGGAGTCTTGACAGGCCACTGTTCCTAGTCCAGCAGATGTGGAGATTTTGGTTTTCCTCCTATGTACCTACCTGCACGGCAGGACTTTCTGAGTTTACTGTCATGACACTTGTAACCTTGTGGCGGTGCCTTAAAATACATGTGGAAATGGCCTTTTGTCCGGAAATAGCACGCTTGCCTGAATTGTGGACACCTGGGCTGGTCTGTGAGTCTCATGTTGATCTATAGCGTCCTGGTTCAGGGATGAAGAGCAGCAAGATTACACCACGCTTCCTCATGTCTGGTCGTCGAGGGCCATGCTCACTACCCCAAGGACTTTGATCATCACTCGCTTAATGGTGAGAGTGTCCCAAGCTGTTCACTGGGTCCAAGGGACACAGGACGTGTTCTGGCAACATGGTGTCACACCATCACCTAGGACAGGACAGGTTACCTACAGTTGCAGACAGAACACCTCAGGGCCCCACACCTGCCTCTGCCATGCACTAAAAGTGCCCCAGTAGTCATGCTGAGCTGGGGACATCCACTTTTATAATCCAAGCACGATGGACAAGTGAGCATTCACGGTTGCAGGTTCAGACAGCCTCTGTTGCCAGGAGACCTAAGTGTCTGTGCAGCAGTTTCCCCTTTCATGACATAAAGCATAAAGCATGGTAATGTCCTCCTGTCAGAACCCCATGCAGTCACCTCAATTGTACTGTGTCCCCTGCGCTGACTCGCGCGCCCCCTAGTGGAGGAGCAGCGCACTTCCGGTATCTGAGTCCTACACCTAGGACCTCAGTCCATCATGGCTTCTCACCCTCGCTGTCCTGCGCGGTCCCTGCTCTGGTCTCCTCCAGGATCTGGCGGCTCTGTCCAGCAGGCGTTGCCCTGCTGATGTTCCTGCCCGAGCCTGCAGACCCTGGACTTAACCCCGACACCAGGAGCGACATGAACACCACCCAAGCCTGAGGTGAGCTGCTTCCAACAGCAGAGCAGCAGCTCTGGAGCCGGTGCATGGCCTCTTGGCCCGGGGCAGGGTCTACAGACAGACTCGCTGAAGAGACCAGGCCTGGAGCCCGGGTACACCGCTGCCCACACCCAGGCCTAGGCCGCAGCATGCTGAGTCTTGGCCACTCTGCCTGCCTCCCTCCACTCCCTCTCTTGCCTCCTGGCGAGTCCAGCAGAGCTCCCTGCAGGGAACTCCCTCCTTTGTGGTGCACAGGCCCTGGTGTGAAGCAGACTTACTCCCGTGGTGCTGTAACCGCCAGGGACTCACGTCTCAGTCAGTGCGGCTCTGACGATCCTGTGAGTCTACTTGGGACTTTCACCCTGAGGGGTGTGGACACAGAGGTCATTTCAGAAGATGCAGCAATAAACACTACTGGGGACTTGGCCAAGATGCCCAACTGTCTGTTTGAAGTGACAGTGCAGGATGAAAAGAAAAACCAGAAACTAATTCAGTTATGTATGACATGGGGGCTGGGAGTTCACAGCCTCAGAATAGGCAAAGACAAGAACTCCCCAGCTTTTATTTTTTCCAGTGAGAAGTGCAGGGGGAGGGCAGGATACTTTTGCTGGAGGCATGAAGGAGTGGTGGGACAGGCTAGTTTAAGGTTAAAAAGAAACAAGTCAAGACCCTCCCTGCACCTGGGTACCTGCCCTCCTGTGTCATCCTCAGAGGACCTCATCCTGCCCTGTGAGCCCCACAGCCTCATGGCCATTCAGTCCAGCTGTGGCCAAGAAAACGTGGGGACTTCTGTGCTCCAGGTGGCCCAGAAGGCAGGGTAAGGAGGAACTTGGAGAGACGTTATCATCAATATGATGTGTGTTTCCCAACTAAACACTAGGGCCCTTAGCACAGAAGTGCTCCAGAGCCCAGCAGTCAACAAAGATCAGCAGCGGGACCAAGACCAGCAGGCACGGCCTGTGGCCTGTGCCAGGAGCTGGGCTTGGATGGTGGTGGCCGCAGTGGCAGTGACCAGCAGCCGGCTGAGAACTGTTGGATCCAGCATTCCCCAGTCATCCATCTGGTGACATCGGGTCTCCAGAGCTGCGCTTTGCTGACTCTCGATTTCCACTGGAATCGTGAAAAGAGCTCTAGGCTGCTAGGCAGCATTTGTCAAGGCAGAGGGGACTTTGCTTTTCCAGTGTGTCCAGGAAGAGCGCAGACAGCGGTGATGATGAACGCAGACCTTCGTCCTGCGTGACAAGCAGCCGCCTGCACTGTTGCTGCTGGCGTAGGCCCTGCCCTGGCCATCGCTGGCTGTGCAGCTGTGACTCTAATGCCTCTAATGGCTGCTCTCTCCTTCTCTCTCCCTCTCCTTCTCCTTCTCTCTCTCCCTTTCTCTTTTACTCTCCCTCTCTTCTTCCCTCCTTCCCTGCTTCACTCCCTTCATACCTACTGCTGTTACTATCTTTGCTGATGGAGACCACTATGAAGCGGCTCTGAGCAGGATTTAATATTATCCAACTGGCTTTCCATGTTTACTTGGGAGTTGTCCGAAACTTAGGCACCTTGTCTAAAGATGGGCAGTTGACTCATAGTAAATAAATCTCTATGGGTCACTGGTCACCGCTGAGAGCTGTATTGGCCTGTGAAGCTGTGACTCCTCACGGACAAGGAGACTGCAGCTGAGGACGTTTCCCTCCCACCCCAATTAACTACAAGGAGACTGCAGCTGCAGGCCCCGCACTCCTACAATAAATACCAACCTAAAGATAAGGGATTTCTCCTGATCGACATAATTTACTACTTGGGAAAATTCTCCCAAGGTCCTGTGAGATTCCCGCTTTTTCTTGAGTGTCCTCTCCTTTTGTTTGAAAACCAAATAAATACGGGCCGTCCAGAGCAATCTTTGGCTCACTCAGAGAATACTGAAGCTGTAAAAGAGTTAGTCCCCCTGGGGTCCTAAAATCATTACCTTGTCTGCATTTTATTTAAACCTTTGACATCCACTCTCTTGGGAGACTGCAGGGCTGATCATCCTGCGATAACTTAGGGTTATATAACCCGGTTTTTGATACTTTGCCTCTTTTCATTTGTCTCTTGAGACAATTTCTTTTCTCTTTCCCGGATAATAACAAGTCATTAAAGACTCCTGATTTTGTGAAAGGTTCTCCACTTTATGCCCAGACAGGATTCACTGGTTTTATAATTCTCAATTTTGAATTCTAAACATGCAGTTATGCCCTATTCATCCTTTGGAGAAACTTCCTCTGGATTGTATTTAGGTCCACTGCAAACTTGATTACTCATGGTTAATCTAGTACTAGACATTCTCAGTTTTCAAGGTAGTGTTTCTGTGGCTTGGTTTGTAGCATTGCTTGATTTTTCAGCCATCTCCTCTGTATTACTCCTGCATCTGTGCAAGTGACTCAAGACTTTATTTACATTGTGTACCTGGGAAGATATTGGTCCTTGTATTTTTGTTGTACTATTATTGTAATCTAGTCTGATTTGATTCTAATGATGGTATTTTCTTAGAGATTCTAAGGGTGTGTTACTTAAAAAAACTCCTGATTTTGAGAATAGTGAGTTCAAGTTTTTGACACTCAGCCTTGTAAACCTCCTACTGAACAAGGGAGCCCTACAGAGTATTTCTGAGGGTGCACCATTTTGATGCCCTTTGGCTAATTGAGGCACATTTAAGGAGGATCCTTTAAAGAAAAAGAGCCTGATCTTGTTTTGCTACACAGCCCGGCCTCAGTACAAACTAGGAAAACATACCTACTGGCTAAAGAATGGGTCATTAAAATATAATAGCATTCTGCAGCTGGATCTGTTCTGTAAAAGGGAAAACAAACACTTGTCATCACTTGCATCCAGGTGTTCTGAAGTTACTCCAAGACCCTGGACGTCAGAACTCTAGTCAAGTCTGTGTGGCTGCAGCTTCCACACCCCAGAGCTCCACAGAGCCCAACATACACATCCTCACAGTCTCCTGCTCTTAATCCACAGTTCATTGGCAGTTCTTCGCACCCCATACTCAGTACAAGGCCCTGCATTTCCTGGAGCCAGGCAACCCTCTCCGTCTCCTGAGCAGCGGATGGTGCTCTTTCCCCTCCATTGGATCTGATCCCTCTCCTAAGGCAGAAGTCCACTCATCTTCATCCCCATCAAAACCTCTCTCCATGTCATCCCCAGTAGGATTGGTATTGAGACACAAAAGAGTGCCCCATTTTTTTGAGGGGAATCTGTTAACATTATACAGTACCTGCTCCCTTTTAAATGACAGAAAAAGTTTTGGCATGGCTCAGAATAAATATGTGACAGCATTTTTTGAGACTGCTGATGGGTTTAGGGGTGAATTTATTAAGCAGAGTGGAACTTTTTTCCTTACATGGAGGGACCTGATCGCAGTGTTACCTCACTGTTGCACTCCTGATGGGAAAAACCTATTCTTGAAGAGGCTGCAGAAGGAGCTGGTGGTCTGAGGCTCACACTGCAGACCTCGACGTTGAGAGATCTGCAGAGGACTCAGCCTCCTGCACAGGTCCTGAATAACACCTCACGGAGAGTAGAGTGGAGCATTTCATAACTTGTCCTTCAGAAGGAAGGAAAAGGTGTTCAGTTAAGCCTGTCAGTTATGACAGAGTTAAAGAGGCAACACAAAAGGGGAAGAGGACACCAGAGTATTTTCAGATCACTTGATAGAGGCCTTCTGGTAACACTGACCTGGGTCAGCATTAACGAGAGCCCTCCTGACCGTGTCTTTTATACTGCAGGCAGCTCCAAGGAGAAGTCAGTTGCAAAAACCTAGGGCAGGTTCCATACACTGAAACCAACCCTAGTGTTACAGCTTTCAAGGTCTGTGATAACTGGGACCAGGCAGAAGAGGCAAAGAAGGGTTAGAAATTAGAGAAAAAGATGCAGCTATATTGCTTTCATTCAACCACCACCTCAGGGCAAATCACAACAACCCCCACCAAATGGACTCGGCACACCTGAGACAAATCAGTGTACATATTGTCAAACTCTTTGGCTTCTCCTTGGCCTTTCCCACTATGAAGGATATCCCTCACATTACAGGTTATGGAAACAATGTGCACATTCTGCAAAGTAAGAAGAATACCTGTCCCAATTATGCCTTCCACAAATGGGATAATGACTATGGTATGGATCCAGGGACCGTGAGTCAGACTGTGGCCAAAACCTTACTGATCAGCAGATCTTCACAGGCCCTGACTCTTACTGTAGGGCCACAGGGATGTTCAGATCTCCAGGAATCAGTACTAGTTCAGAACCAGTGTCTAGTAGTCCCCGAATGTCTGATCCTCTCCCTTGCCCCTAAGGATGGTCACCAGAAAAGGGACCCTGGGTCCCTTTGGGGGAAGGATGGGAGAAAGACTGAAAGATAACTTTCTGGCAGTGCACTGTGATTCTTCTCCCTCAGAGGGACCCAGAACTGTATCCTTTCAGGGATGTCTAAGTCTGCTACCTGGCTGAACTCAGCCGGGGCCATGATTCTCTGGTTGATCTTTGCTCATTTACTCTAAAATTTTGCTGGTTATATGAGTCAAATAAGACTTTAGTAGGCTTCCTGTCCATGTCACTTTTGGGACAACCATGGCTAATCATCCAGTGCCACAGGTCTACAAGTGTCAGACCATGCTGATCACTGCTTCACATCTGCTGCTTATTATGGTAAGTATGCACACCTGGCTTTAGAGTTGGGCATTGCCACCTGACCCCTGCCATTCTGTGATCCAATTAAACCCATCAATTTTAGGGTCCCCAACTGAGTGACTGCTACCCACGTTAAGGTCGGGGACATAGAGAAGAGCAATGACAGGGCTCTTCAAAACTGCTAGTACTTCCCTCTAAACACTGTTTCTTAATTATTAGGGCAGAGAATATCTTCCGGTCTTATCAGTGTGGAAGAGTGTGTTTTACCTGGAAAATTCACTCCAGAATTCCCCTTTCCCTGAGGCTTTGAGAATCAATAATATATTAAGGGATATTAGGCCTCTCTAGCTCATTCACAGTGGGCCATCTTTTAAACCATACTTCTGCCCA